TCCTTAGGAAGCGAGCTGCGTGTGTTCCCGTGGACTGCGGTGACGAGGCCGAGGATTTGCAGCCCAGTCTGTGAGTATCGAGGGAGTTCTGGATCCTCGGGATAAGCTGCTTCGTCTCCCGTTTCTGGGTCGGGCATGAAATTTGGCCCTACCCTTTCTGCTTCGTTGGTGTTGACTGTCACAGGTGTTACGTAACCATCGTCGGCGAAACGGTAGAAGATTTCGGCGTTGTTACTGTCGCGAGGATTATCCTCATCCATGGGCACGTCGACGGAGCAGTATGGGAGAGGTCCGGCTTCTTCTGAGGCGTTGTCGACGTTCTGTTCATCCCAGTCTGCTTCGTCCGCTGCTGACGCGAAGGCTCGGTCACCACGAAAACCACTGGTGAGGTCCCGATTCTCGTGCAAGTTGGCGAGGTACGTCTGAAGGGTGAGTCTTTCGTAGAAGATCACGTCACGTGCTGCTACTGTTTCCTTTGTGTGGACGTCGAAGATTTTCCATGCGTTGTAATTTTTCTCGATGCCGAGGTGTAGTCCCCACTGTGCCCGTTGCGAAAATCTTCCCGCTCGTGCTTCTGGGGGTCTGTACTGTACCATGCACCCGAAAACTCGTAACATTTTCGTGCTGCCCTGCTTCCCTGTCCACAGCAGATGCGGTGATGCGTTGTTCGGGAGTGACGACGACGACAACAAGTTGTGTAGCATGACAGCGTGGTCCATTGCTGCTGGCCACTGGTGGTTGGGTAGCCGCATGCCACGTAATAGTTTGCGCATGCTGTTCTGCAGGGTCCTGTTCAGTCGTTCTGCAACACCTTGCTGCTGATGTGCGTAAGGAAGGGAGAGGAGTTGCTTGATCCCCCTTTCCGCCAAGAACTGCTTGAAGCGGTGAGAGGTGTACTCGCCACCTCCGTCTGACTGGAATTTTTTCAGTTGTGTTCCAGACTCTCTCTCTGCTATCGGTAGCCAGGCGGCGAATGCTGCGAGCGCCATGTCGCGGCTGGGTAGGTTGCGATGCCAGACGTATCGAGTGGCGGCGTCGATGAAGGTGATGGTGTAGTTGTAGTTGACTTGTCCTGGCTCGCGATTGTAGAGGATGTCGCTGTAGACTTTTTCGAGTGGTGCGTACGCTGGAGCGCTCGGGTTGTGATGTGAAGCAAACGGTCGATGAGGTAAGTCAGCTTCGGGACATATAAGGCAAGTCCCTCGTGCCTTCTGGAGTTCTCTGCCATCGGGTAGAAGTAGAGAATCTTTGTCAAGGACTCCTGCTCTTATCGTGTTATTCAAAACCGTGTTGCTTGGATGTCCTGTTCGTGCGTGCCAGATCTCTTCAGAGGCACGGTGTCCAGGTGAACGCTGATATGCGTCGGAGTTGGAGTAAAAGCTGGCGACGAGGTTGGCGCTTCGGTGGACTTCACGTTGAGTCGGATTCAGCTGTTTCGCGGGTGTTGGTGGTGCTTCGTCGACTGTGACTGGTGTCGTTGTTCCTGCTGCTGCTGATGTTGTTGCTGCTGCCGATGTTGTTACTGCTGCTGATGTTGTTGCTGCTGCCGATGTTGTTACTGCTGCTGATGTTGTTGCTGCTGCCGATGTTGTTACTGCTGCCGATTGTCGAATTGTTGCTAATGCTCGTGTTCGTTCTGCTTCAGGAATGGTGTGCGAGTACCAGAAGCCTCCTGGGCTGAAGTCGGGGTCGAGATCCGGAGGGTGTGTCCAGTCAGTGAAATTCACGATGGCGTCGCTGTCTGCAGTGCCCAGGTCAGGAACGAAGTCGAGGACGAAGACGTTGTTCTTCAGCACTGCTTTCCCGATGTAGAGACCGCCTCTCCCGTGGTAAAGTTTGAACTCCTGGGTCGTGCTGTCGGCTTCCAGATGAATTCCTTTCGCCATCAACTGGCTAACGCTCAGTAAGTTGTAGCCGAGTCCTTCAGCGATGAGTACCTTAGACATGTGCAGTATGACATTTGTTTCTCTTGACTGAAGCTGTACCACTCCTTGTCTTCGTGTGCGCAGGTTTTGGTTGTTGGCAACCGTGATGATCACTTCCCGTTGGAGTCGATGTTCGCGTTGTACGAAACGCCCGGACGAGCACATGTGTTGCCCGCAGCAACTGTCCAAGAACCAGGTGTCTTGGCCGGACGGTTCACTTTGAGCGATGGCGGCGTACGTTGGATTCGGCTGGAGTAGCTCACGGCGAGGCGTTCTGTTGTCAAGCTCTTCTTCCGGTGAGTAGTGTGGTGGTGATTCGGTTGTACATGAATCGGTTATCTTCGTCATGCAGTTGATTATATTTCTTGCTCCTTGTGCAGGTTGTCCGGGTGAAGTCGTTGAAGCTTGAATAGTGGTCGTCGCACTTGCTTGTGTTGAAGCCATTTGGGAGCTTGAAGGTCGAAGTTGTCGCTGTGGTGCCGTTGATTGCTGACGATTCGGGCAGTGTGTGCGCGGGTGCCCTGAAGTCTTGCAGATGTGGCAGAAGGGAGGTACTATCTTCGGTTGCTGCTGTCGGTTGTTATAATTGCTGTGTCGTCGTTGAGTGTGGAATGCGAACTCTGATACTGTCGTTTTCTTCCTGTGTCGTTCTTCCTGCAGGTCCATATCTTGCTGCTCGGCATGTATTTCGGCGCAGAGTGCAGCTTCAGAGATTCTTCCGTGGGCTCGAAGAATGGCTTTGGTGGCGCGCCACTGAGGACCAAGCCCACCAATTATGACTGTCACGAAGGCGTCTTCAGAGATTGACCCTCCGCATCGAAGCAGCTTGTCGCGCAGTTCGCGACATCGGCTGATATACGCCAGTCCTTTTTCTCCTGGTTTCATTTCGACTGTCGTCAACTGCGCCATTAACCTGCTCTGGTTTACACTGTCTGTTGCTTGATACAGGTTCTTCAGATGGCTGTACGCGAGCTCCGCCGAGTTGCCGAAGGTCCGGTAAGAGCGAATGTTCTGCTGCTGAGTTGGTGTCACATTCCTCAATAGGATTGTATACGCCATCATTGATTGATACGTATACTGCTGCTTTTCATATTGTGTCCCGTTGGCTGGATACTGCAGGGACCCGTCGAAGAAGCCGAGTATCTGCGCGCCCTCCATCATCAGCTCGAATTCAAAGGACCAGGTAAAGAAGTCTTTGCCGTCGAAGGGTCTTGACGTTTGCAGTTTTAAGACGTGTGCAAACTGCGACTGAACTTGAAGTGCGTCCAGTGGTCTTTCTTGTCCAGGTGAAGGTTGCGGGTGGGGCACGAAGCTGATTGACCCGCGCTCGTACGGAGCAAAGGTAGGTTGCTGCTGCTGGTTTCCTCGCGCATATGACGACCCATCAAGACTCATGGGTGTCGCTCCGTTGTTGCTGTTGTGTGTTTGTGCAGGTCCCGACTGCTGGTGTTGTTCGTAGAAGGACATGAAGGAGAAAAATTTCTCCATCATGTTCTGGTCAAAGTCCGAAGGGTGGTTCATGGGGGTCTCGGTTGACGTTCCTCTTGGTCTTGTTGCCGTGCCTTCTTCTGTCTGCAGGCCAGAGGCTGACGGTGGAGTAGGAGTAGTGCCCGAGGAGCCATTAGGGGAGCTCCTTTCCTTGTTTGTTGCCATGTCTTGTAATGATATTGAAAAAAGAGTAGAGTTTCCCTTGTCTGCTCTGATACCATGTTGGGCTGAGATAGCCCCTTAGGATCTTTGCAAGGGATAACTCTAGGTGAAGTAGTTGTAATAGCGGAAGCGTTTAGTGAAGAATTTGAACCGACCTTGCACTGGTGTGTGAGAGCAAAGTTGATTGAATTAAACAAGCAAATACAAGGATTTATATAAGAGTACAGGGAATAGATAGATAACTGTATTGCTGTTGCGGTTCGATATAGCGCGACTCGGGCAACTGCTCTGTAACGAGTCAGTTGTGTGTCCTTAACTGTCGCGCTGTAATTGTCGAGTCAAAGATCAGCGACCTTTGACTTTCTCGTAACCTCCAGGCGGTTACCCTAACCTCCGAGGTTGACTCGATGTTTCGATTGGGACTGCTTCGCTTGGTACCTTGGATTTTGATACGACAGAAGCGCACTTAGGACTTATTGTTTCCAACAGAGGCTACATGTTTCGCAGTCAGGAATGCAATTAGTCCAGCTTTTGTCACAATTTTCATCAGGTATGATTTGAGACTCTTTATGCATCTTTCGCATTTGGCCCAAATAGCGGTGTCTATCCCTTTTCCGTTATAATTTGGCTACCGGTAATTCCGTTATTGTTGTCCTTCGTGAACAACAGCACAGAAGTCAGAAAAACGGAGTCTGTGGAAAAGAATAACCTATGAATAAAATAATCGCAAACACTGTATCTTTGTGGAAACCCGGCCCCCACCTGGTTTCTTTAGCGCGCTACCCGGCGCCACGGTTGAGCGGCACTTCTCTGCATCACAAGCGCGAGTTCAACAACCACCCTTCACCGTAACTCAACACCTGTTCAATCACCACTCTTCACCGTGATTAAAGTTACTGGAACAGATAAGACCGTGCACAACCAGACTTTGGCAGGCCCACCTCAGCTCAACCACACCCTCATCAGGATCACCCCTTTCTCCAGTAGGCTAAGTTCGCGACCCTGATTAGCTTGCTATTTGTCTTAGATGAAGGACCTAAACTCGTCCTTCATGGAGCTCGTTCTCAGTTCCTTAGGCCTCAGAATCTTAGACCGCGAGTTAAGCCCTGATATTTCTCCGCTAGGCCGTCGAAAGCGCGGTGTGGGATGGCGAATTCAATGTCGTCTGGAAAGGTGGTTCGGCTGGCCGTCACTGACTTCCTTTTCACGTACGGAACGGACGATAAAATATGTCTTTGGGAAGACACGAAAAAATGTGATGGTAGATGCTAGCAGCTCTGAACTGATCAATTAGGCGACATGTTATTACTCGCTTCGTCTAGTTGAAACAGGGCAGATTTTAATTTGTTATCCGGATTTCCCTGGCATCATCCACTGGTTTTTGTTTTTCGTTCTAACCCTCGCCACTTCTGCGGAATTCCCCTAATGACCAGAATCGTTTATGCGATAGGGGTATCGTGTACGGAAGCCACGGTGGCAGTCCTCGCTCCATACGTCGCCGCGGACGATAAAACCTCCGTCGCTCTCCTCTTGGTAGGCAACTGTAACAATTTAACAATCTATGTAACAATGTAGCAATGTAGCAATGTATCGACATGTTAACTCGCGCATAAGGACCGGTCTCTTAAAATGTCACAAATCTGGTGGATCCAACGCTTTACTGTGTAACGCTCTTGGAAGTCGAGCTCTCTCTCTCTCTCTCTCTCTCTCTCTCTCTCTCTCTCTCTCTCTCTCTCTCTCTCTCTCTCTCTCTCTCTCTCTCTCTCTCTCTCTCTCTCTCTCTCTCCTCCTACTCCCACTCGTGTGCACCAGGCGACCGCCATTGTCAGATTACGGGGTTCTTTTGAGTGAACTCAGAGTGTGACATCTGACTTTTGAGTCGACTCAGAAGCCACCTTGTGTGCCTCTCCCTCATGCCTCTCCCTCATGCCTATCCCGAGTGCCTCTCCCTCATGCCTCTCCCTCATGCCTATCCCGAGTGCCTCTCCCTCATGCCTATCCCGAGTGCCTCTCCCTCATGCCTATCCCTCATGCCTATCCCTCATGCCTCTCCCTCATGCCTCTCCCTCATGCCTATCCCGAGTGCCTCTCCCTCATGCCTCTCCCTCATGCCTATCCCGAGTGCCTCTCCCTCATGCCTATCCCTCATGCCTATCCATCATGCCTCTCCCTCATGCCTCTCCCTCATGCCTCTCCCTCATGCCTCTCCCTCATGCCACTCCCTCATGCCTATCCCGAGTGCCTCTCACTCGCGCCTCTCTCTCCGGCCTCTCCCTCCGTGTGCACCAGGCGATCACCATCGTTCAAGTCGCGGGGTTCGGGGGAGCGGCAGACGCGCTGGGGGGGGCGTCGTATAACCCGCTCACCAACCTCATCAACTACCTCGCTGACGAGGACGACGAGACGGCGCTCGGCTTGCTGCTGCGCCTCCCCGCTCAGGTACTGGCAGCACACAGATGACTGGCAGCACACAGATGACTGGCAGCCTTTTTCTAATACGTCTTAAGAATTTCCCATGTCCCCGCCTTCCAACCCTCTGCGCCCTGCCCCCTGCCCTCTGCCCCCTGCCCCCTGCTCCCTGCCCCCTGCCCCCTGCCTCCTGCCCCCTGCCCCCTGCCCCCTGCCCCGCTCAGATGCTGGCAGGGACCACAGGGCTGGCAGGGGACAGGGGAGGGCTGGCAGGGATGTGGGTATCCGTTGAGTGGGCTCTCAGAGTGTCTGGATCACGGCACTTTCTTTGAAGTGTTTTTCTAGAGTTCTTAAGAAACGCCTACAACAAGCTGGCAAGCATGGGTTGAGCGCGCTCTCATAGTGTCTGGATCACGACACATACCTCCCATCCCAGCACCGCACGACATGAAGCTTCTTTCTCGAGCCCATCCATCCCTCAAGGTTCATCCGAACCCCTCTCCTGTCCCCTTGCCTCCCCCTCTCACTTCCCCCCCCTCCCACAAATCCATGTCACCAGGCAGGTGGCATCGTCATAGGCACCATGCTGACGTGGGATTTTGTCCCAGAGTGTCCATCCAACTCCCTTCCTGTCCATCCCAACCCCCTTGTCCCCCTTCCTTCCACCCCCCTTCCTCCCCCCCCTTCCTTCTATCCCCTCCACTCCCTCTCCCATCCACGTCATCAGGCAGGTGGCATGGTGATAGGTGCCATGCTGACGTGGAAGTTCATTCCGGAGTCTCTCAAGCACACAGTCAACGGGCCCGCGCTGCCACCTGGCGTCTCGGTATTGGCCGGCGCGACAGCGGAGTTTACGCTCACGTTTCTGCTGTTCCTGGTGGTGATGTGGACGCTGTTCCTGGGACCCAGCAGCGACCGCTTAAAGGAAGTCATCATGGTCTCAGCCACAATAGTCGCCATTGCTGCTGGCATGGGCTTCTCTGGCCCTTCCCTGAACCCCCTCTTTGTAAGCACCCTCCCTCTCTCCTGACTCACTCTAGAACTGCACCAGCTGGTTCAAGAAATGCCAGGGCAGCACTTCCTGGTTCACTCATCCTGCCTAAATTTCATCCTTCCTTCTTCCTCATTTCCTTATTCCTTACCACTCCCCGCCTCGTTACTCCTCCCCACTCCCCTCCTCCAGTCGATTGGGTGGGTGCCAATGTTGGATCAGGATATGTCAGCCAAGCACTCGATGTTCTACCGGGCTGCTCTGTCCCGCACGTATCTTCCCCCACTGCTCGACTCCTTCCCTATTCCTCCCTTCTCCCCTCCGGCAGGCGTTCAGATAGGTGTACACACTGGATTAAGAGATGACAGGGCAACACTTCGTAGCCTACTGGGCTGTTCCCACCATCATCTCATCCATTCTTCCCCATTTCATGATTTCTTGTCACTCTCCACCTCTTTTCTCCCCCCCACCCCTCCAGCCGGCGTTTGGGTTTGTGTATACGTTGGATCAAGAGATGTCACTACAGCATTTGATAGCCTACCGGGCTGCTCCAACAATCATCATCTCATCCTTCCTTGTCATATCGGGGTTTTTGTCTCTCCTCACCTCCCCACTCGCCACTGGCTCCCCTCTGTCAGGCATTTGGGCTGATGATACACATTGTACCGCGCTCCCCTCTGTCCAGTTGTCGGTGCGAGATGCTATTCATAGTCTACTGGGCTGCTCAAACAATCATCATATCTTTCTTTGTTTTTTTTTTTTTGGCGCATCATATGTTTTTTTCTACCCCTCATCACTTCACTCCCCAACTCCCCTCCGGCAGGCGTTTCGGTGGGTTTACACGTTGGACCAGGAGATGTCAGTGCAGCACTTTTCATTCTTCTGGGCTGCTCCCACCTTTGTCTCATCCTTCCTTCCTCATTTCATGCTTCCTCGTCTCTCACCTTCTCCAGGCATTTGGATGGGTGTACACGTTGGACCAAGACATGTCGGTGCAGCACTTCATAACCGACTGGGCTGCTCCAACAGTTGTGGTCTCTTTCCGCATTAGTTCTTTTTTTGCTACTCCCCACTCCCTTCCTCCAGGCGTTCGGGTGGGTGTACACATTGGATCAGGAGATGTCGGTGCAGCACTTCATAGTCTACTGGGCTGCTCCCACCGCCGGTGCCGTGCTCGCAGCAGCCTTCTACCGAATCTACCTGAAACCACACAAGGTGGCTCTTGAGGCGAAACGGCGGAAGGAGAGAGAAGGGAAGGAAGGGAAGGAAGGGAGGGAAGGGAAGGCTGGGGAGAGCGGGAAGGGGGAGGAGGAAGCAATGAGGGCCAGCAGAGAAACAAAGGGGGTTGCGGCGGAGAGAGAGGGTGAGGGGTTGCGAAAACGGGTGGGTGTGGGAGCACGTGAAGAGGAGGAAGAGGGTAGGGCTGAGGTGAATAATGGTGGTGGTGAAGGGAGAAACAAAGCATAGTGATTCGAGAGTGAGCAAGGAGAGAGGGGGCTTGGGAAGTTAGTAGGAAAGTGGAGGAAGCTGGGCCTTGGTATTGTGTTGCTGGATGGCCAAAAGGGCCCTCTCTCGGTTTGGTGTGCCCTATTTAGTGTAGTAAAAACGGTTTTTCCCAGAACAACAATTTACATTTGACTCAACCAATGTTTGTAACAATAGTGGCACATTCAAACCTGCGATTGGCCTGGCATCACGCCGCAATTATCGGCCGCGAACGTTGCGAACTCGCAGCATGCAGTGGGGGACTGTGGTGTAATTCGCTTCACACTAACCTGCGAAGCACACAGAGCGAGCAACTCTCACATATGATTCGACCTGGCGCGAAAATACATGTCATCCCGCCAGATTGAATCTTCCTGAGTGCATTTGTCCTCCCCTCTTCTCTCGTAAGAGCCCACCTACCCCCACTTCCTAACACAGCGTAGCGTAAACCTCGCCCGCTGTTCCACAGGAACGCGCGCGTGTTGGATTTAGGCAGCCGCTAACTGGGAGAGTCCCACCTGGCGACGGTTTTCACGCCGGAACATGCGCAATAGTATCGCGTTGAACGCGCAATGTGTGAGCGTCTCCCTCCGCCTGGCAAAGACCGTCTTAGTGACGAAACTGCTCTCTCGTGGGAGCCCCAACCTCACAATGATTCCACTCCAAGAGGAGTCCTATATAACTCCCTCGACATCTCGCCTTCACATCTTTAGTAGTCATTTAACTTCTTTTCCAACTTCCCAGCCAACAACTCTCCCGTTCATCCGTTATTCTCCTCTCGCGCTTACAATTCTCACGAGTCGGGATCAACGCCGTTGCCTCTTATGGCTCGGACAAAGCAAGGTGCAGCCACCATGGCGGCGTTGCCGATGCTTCTGTGCGGGCTGCTTGTGACGTCAGCATCGAATGCTGCGGCAGGTAAGCTTCGCATCTATTCCGTCATCGTGCAATTCCGTATTTTGAGAATTCTCAAAAATCCGTTCAGTTTACGTGTATCATGCTGCATTCGGGTAACTCTGGTACTACTACTAGTACATCCGAACCTATCATCCCTTCCATTGTTCTCCGCACAGCAGGATCCAAGGGATTGGTCGCGGCGCGGCGCATTCTAGGGGCCACGACGACCAGGGTCAGCAGCACGTCCCCTACCTCCCTGAAACTGACAGCCACGACGACCAAATCGGCGAATCAGTTGCTCCAGCCCGTGAAACTGACAACCACGACTAGGACCAGCAGCACGTCCCCTACCTCTTTGAAATTGGAGAAAACTTTGACCACCTCCCCCACCGCCGTGACACTGACAACCACTACCAGGACCTCTAGCACCTCCCCTACCTCTTTGAAGCTGGAGAAAACATTGACCACCTCCCCTACCGTCGTGAAACTGACAACCACTACCAGGACCAGCAGCACGTCCCCTACCTCCCTAAAAATGGCAGCGCTCATTGACACTAGCAAGACACTCACCTGTCAAACTATATAGGTGTTAGTTCTGTGTAGGCTATAGTGGGGTAGCCCATATGGGGTACAACCCTAAGTTAGGGTTAGTACTTGTACCCACATTTCATTCAATGCAACATCCTTGCTTGCTATCTTGACATGGTATCAGAACAGTAGGTCCATAGAACCGTTTTTTTTTGTTTTTTCGGGCCCACCATACTTAGCTTCCGACTGCGGTTATCACGTTACCCCACTACCCTGCGTCGCGCTGCCCCGCGCACGCCCTGCCTTGCCCCGCGTCGCGCTGCCTAGCACATGCCCTGCCCTGCCCTGCCTGGCGTCACCCTGCGCCAGCGCCCTGCCCTGCGCCAGCGCCCTGCCCTGCGCCAGCGCCCTGCCCTGCGCCAGCACCCTGCCCTGCGCCAGCGCCCTGCCCTGCGCCAGCGCCTTGCCCTGCGCTAGCGCCCAGCCCTGCGCCAGCGCCCTGCTAAACCCTAAATAAAATTCAATAATTATTAAAATAAAAAAGGCCCTAGGTGCTTCTGCCCTAGGAGTTATTCCCTGCCGCTGCCCTGGTGTGGCCGCACGCCGCCCTGCTCTGGCCGCGCGCCGCCCTGCTGCTCTTACTACTGCTGCTGCTACTCGTGCTACTGCCTTCACTCCGTACTGCCCTAGAGGTCGCGCTCCTCCTAGCTTGCCCGCCATGACTTCCCTTTGTCGTACCGGTGGGAGTGGTGATGGCGGTGGTGGCAGCAGTGGGAGTGGTGACGGCCGTAGTAGCGGTCACTGTGGCGCTGTTTGGTGCGGAGTGTCTGGCGGTGGCCAGATGCACCTACGGCGGCGTCCGACCCTTACGCCCGAGCAGCTTCGTGAGTGGCTTTACCAGCGTGGGCCGTCTCCGAGTCCGGGTCGCTGCCAGTACGTCATTCGCGCAGGTCGTCAACCTTGTGAGACCTGTGGGATACCTGGTCACGCACAGTCCCGCTGCTTCGCCTATTTGACTGACGCCTGGCGCACAAAGTTTGGCGATGAGGCTGAGATCCCCCCCCTGGCTTGAGCTGCTTAGGTCGGGCGTTGCTGTCTTTGATTTAGACTATGACGCCATCCTTACTGCCATGTCTGCTTTGCCTGGTGGTGCTGAGCGTGACTGTCACCTGTGCGTGCAGTACGACCCTGGTATAGAGGTTACTGCTCTAGGTGCTAGTGATGCTGCTGCCTTAGGTGCTAGCGAGTCTGCTTCCTCAAGTACTGCCCCTATTGAGGCCTTGCACACCTTCACGCTTGACTCAAGTGCTTCCCGCTATTTCTTTCGTGACAGTGCTGCACTCACACCACTCACTGCACCTGCTGCAGTCTCTCTGGCTGACCCCTCAGGGGGCCCAGTTCTTGCATGGTCCACCACAGTGCTTCCATGCCCGGCGGTTCCGTCTGGCTCACTAACAGGCTTCCACCTCCCCTCGTTCTCTACAAATTTGGTGAGCAACGCAGTTCTCCAAGACTAGTGGGTTGACACCTTTACCCCTAGAAGACAGCGTGTGGCGATCTGTACGTGCTCCCGGACCGGCGGCCACCTGGCCACGTTTACTTGTCGGCCAGGGTCAAGTCTTTACACACTGGCGTCTGCGCCTCCTCAGGTAGCTGCTACTGGTCAGGTGTCTGCGTCAGGTCAGGTAGCCTCCCCTTGTGAGTGTCGCTCCCTGTCGCACCAGAATCTTCTCTAGCACCACCGTCTAGGTCACCACTCCTTGCCACGTCTACGTGGCATGCACCGTCGCCTCCTTGTGTCTGGTCTTCCTAGGTCTCTCCCTCCCCTCCCTGCCTCGCCTGCGCCCCCCTGCCTTCCTTGTGTCGAGGAGCGGCAGCACACTGCTCCTCACTCCTCCTCGTTTCCCCTGACAGAGGCTCCTCTGCAGACCCTCCACCTGGACGTGTGGGGCCCAGCCCGCGTTCGTGGACAGGGCGGTGAGCGGTACTTTCTGCTGGTTGTCGACGACTACTCGCGGTACACCACGGTCTTCCCCTTGCGCACCAAAGGTGAGGTCTGTGCTGTCTTGATCCCTTGGATCCGAGCAGTTCGTCTCCGGCTCCGCCGCAGGTTCCGCCACGACCTTCCTGTCTTGCGTCTGCACTCTGACAGAGGTGGTGAGTTCACCTTCGATCTCTTGCGGGCCTTCTGTCAAGGGGAGGGCATCGAGCAGTCGTTCACGCTTCCGGGCTCACCATAGCAAAATGGGGTTGCTGAGCGCCGCATTGGCTTAGTCATGGAGGTCGCTCGTACCTCCTTGATTCATGCGGCGGCTCCCCATTTTCTATGGCCGTTTGCGGTCCGGTACGCCGCGCAGCAGCTCAACCTCTGGCCCCGTGTCTCTTTATCGGAGACCTCGCCCACACTGCGTTGGACGGGGGAGGTTGGCGATGCGTCGCGTTTCCGGGTCTGGGGTGCTCGTGCCCTTGTTCGTGATACGTCTGCGGACAAGCTCTCCTCCCGCACCATTCCCTGAGTCTTCCTTGGCTTTGTCCCAGACGCGTCTGGCTGACAGTTTTACCACCCCACCTCGCGCCGTCTCTTCCCCTCTCAGGTTGTCACCTTTGACGAGCCGGTTCCTTTCTACCGTCTCTTCCCCTACCGCACTGCCCCTCTCCCTCACCCGCCGCTTTTCCTCGCTCCAGGTCCCCCTCCGGTAGACCCCCTCCCGCCTCACGGTCCTGCTCCTTCAGGTGTGTCTCAGGTAGACCCGCCCCCCTTGGTTGAGCCTGTAGAGGTCACTAGCGACTCAGGTGCTGCTTCTGAGGATGCTGAGCCTACGTGTGAGGTGCTGGGGAGTGCGGAGCCTGGGGGTGCTGAGCCTGCGGCTGCGGAGTCTGGGGGTGCTGAGCCCGTCCGTGAGGTGCCGCGGGGTGCGGAGCCTGGGGGTGCTGAGTCTGCTGGCGTTCCTTTGGGTCTCGTTTCATGACGCGGGCATGTCTCACCATAGCAAGCACGAGAGTGGCTTGCGTCGCGTACCCGCCTGCGGAGTCGTGCTGCTAGAGCTGCTTGTCGTGGAGGCGTTGGGAGTACTGGTGTCTCTGGTCCTGGAGGTGCTCGTACTGGAGGTACGGGAGCTGGCGGGACTGGTACTGCTCCTAGAGCTGGAGATGTCGGCTCTGGGGGTGTTGCTGCTGGAGGTACTGGGGCTTGAGGCCCTGGAACTGGTGCTGTCGATCCTGGAGTTGGAGACCCTGGAGCTGGAGGTGCCGGTTCTGGGGGTGCTGCGGTTGGAGGTACTAGGGCTGGAGTCCCTGGAGCTGGTGCAGTTGACCCTTAAGCTGGGGGTGCTGAGTCTGCTGGCGTTCCTCTGGGTCTCGTTTCACGATGCGGACTTGTCTCACCACAGCAGGCACGAGAGTGGCTTGCGTCGCGTACCCGCCTGAGGAGTCGTGCTGCTGGAGCTGCTAATCTTGGAGGCGCTAGGAGTGCTGGTGTCTCTGGTCCTGGAGGTGCTTGTACTGGAGGTACTGGAGCTGTCGGGACTGCACCTGCTCATGGAGATGGAGGTGTCAGC